TAAGGGGCGTAACATTTCCGTCACACGCTTGAGGCATTCGGCCAATCACAACGCACTGGATAGCTGGCCAATCACAGCACACCACGCTTTTTCAGACCGATGAGCTTTGTAAAAATCGACATGTTTCAGAAAGATGGGGCATAGAGGAGAAACAATAATGTACAGTATGTGGAAAATACTGTTTTTTTTTAACCTTAAACCGCATAAACACATTTCATTTCACCAAATACCCAACATAATGTTCTTTTTAGCAACGTCAACCCCTTAAATAAATTAAATATTTGTTTTTAATAGTTTCAGTTTTAGTACTAGATAATAACCCTGCTCTTGACAGCAAGCAACAGCATTGCAAGATTTTCCATCGAAAATCCTCCCATATGACCGCACTCCACACCACAGCAATTATCACTGTTTATCACCTCTTCAGAAAGAAGAAAAACAGTGTTTGACTTCAGACAAATGTATAGCCATCAGGGGAGCGATAATGACTGTCAGGAAAATGGGACGATAAGCGTCTGCGGATCTTGTTTGTTCTCTACTAATGGATTTCTCTCCCACATTGTCCGGAAATATAATTGTGAGGACTGATTGGCAGATTGCAAGTGTGCTAGATGCCAGTCTATCAGAATCATGTGACTAGTGGATAACGGCTCGTCAACGGCCACTGCTTAATTAGCAGGGCGGTTAAAGCAACAAAATCCCGCACCACGCGCAGGCATAATTCCGATCCAAAACCTCTTTTATTAAACCCAGACGCCAATCGATAATATAATTCCCCAGCGTTAGTTATGGCCTTAGCATACTGTACTTACTGCTAGCTGTAGCTCAAGATGATGAAATTCACCTACGGCCATCTACCTCAACCGCAACCCGATGGATTCAATTATTTAATTCCTTTTGATTACCACAATTAGTGGAGTTCACAGATGGCTCTCAAACTCAACCGAACTCAATCGTTAACATGGGGTCAGTGTAACGAGGACGGTTTTTAAGCATGAACTCTAGGCCATGACACAAATGACTGCGATTCTCTGTGCGAAGCACTTTCCGCAGGCAGGGTCACGGGTTAAGAACAGTGAAATGGTTATGAAGCAGAAAGCGGGCCGTGCGCATCAGCATGTTCTCCCGGCTAAAAGAACCATTTCCTGCATCCCACCTTCAGCAGGCTCTCAAGTGCCTCTTGTGGTTAGGTCCCCTAAACAGACAGAGATTTATTATTTATAACAGGTCAACAGGTTTACTGTAAAGATGGAGCACATTGATTCGTGGAAAAAAATTATGATGGATGTACCAGTCATTTGAGCTATTCTGAAGAACAGGTACTGGATATAGAAGAGCATTATCCATGGAGGAACATTACGTGAACTACTTTGATTGAGCGTGAATGCCAAATACAGCAATGATTTCAAGCAGCAACCGATTTTAACTTTATGTAAATGAGCAGTGATGCAAAGCAATGACTACCAATAGGAATGCAGACAGCTGGCTGATAGAGTTGGAACAGCAGTTGAATAAGAGTGACAACTAGAGACTTAAGGAATTTAATCACTGTCAGTGGGACAAACACACTAAAATACACACACACACACAAAATAAAAACACACCATTTTATAAAGTATGAAAGATTTTCTTTAAATATTCTTTCCTATAAAATATAAAAGATAAAAATGTAAATTCTTCAATAAATACATTTTAAAGTATATATATATATGTACACAGTATATACAGTATTGATACAGTATGTATTTTAAAGCCAATTTTAAAAATAGTATTTATCACCATCATCATCATCATCAATATTAATATTGATATAGTATATATTTTAAAGTATATATTTTTTTAAACAGTTTGTATTTTAAGGCGATTTCAAAAACAGTATTTATATAATAATAATAATAATAATAATAATAATAAATACTGGTTTTGAAATCAGCTTTAAAATATATACTGTATGAATAAAAAAAAAAGTCCTCATAATAATAAAGTAGGGACCTCTTATAAATAAAAATAATAAAAAAGAGATGCTATCAAATGCTATCAGTGTGACAAACAGTAAAACACACACACACACACACACACACACACACACACACACACACACACAATCATAATAATATTTTTAAAATCTGTTTTAAAAATATATTATTTCGATAAGAAACGATAGATAAACATTATTGTATACCAGTAGTTAATAATTACCTTTAGTTTGCATGATAGTTGGGCTTTGTAAACTATCATGCAAACTAAACTTGTATACCAGTAGTTAATAATTACCTAATTTTATGCACAAATTGTTCGGTAACACTTTACAATAAGGTGTCATTTGTTAACATTAGTTAAAACAGCAGTCGGCGCTGTACTCTTGCTTGAACTATTTTTTCTTGGTGGAAGCTTTGCGTTTGTTTAGCTAATAAAATATTAAAACTCGATCCAAAATGGTGTATAATTGTTTAATTATGTCATCCTGGTATCGTGGACTTGCTCTCGTTTCATACAAACGCAGCTGCTGCCATATTGCTACGATTGTTTTGTACGCTGTAATGGATTTTAACTAACATGAACTAACAATGAGCAATACATTTGTTACTGTATTTATTATTCTTTGTTAATGTTAGTTAATGAAAATATAGTTATTTATAGTTTGTTCATGTTAGTTCACAGTGCATTAACTAATGATAACAAATACAACTTTTGATTTTAATAATCGATTAGTAAATGTTGCAATTAACATTAACTTAAAATCAATTAAATCAATAAATGCTGTAGAAGTATTGTTCATGCTTAGTTCATGTTAACTAATACAGTTAACTACTGTTAACTAATGAACCATATTGTAAAGTGTTACCGTATAATTGTTCTAATGTACCGTATAAAAGATGTTAATAAAGAAAGTTAATAATTCAATTATTTAATAATAATAATAATAATAATATCAACAAAACTAATTAGCATTCTTTTATATACAAATGCACACAGCTCTGCTATCGCTTTTATCATATTGCATACGCAACTCTGACATGCGCTCTTAAATTTGAATTGATCTTCAAGATTATTATCTCTTTACATTACTCCAAGATTATATCAAAAGTAATCTAAATCTGTTGTTCGTATAAGGTTCTCTTACTTGGGTATGTGTTTTCTTTTATTTATGTTTATTTTTATTTTTTTAAATTTTTTAATGTATTGTTCTGTATTAAAACAAATGCAAATAAATAGATATCTAAATCTCAAATTTTTATTTTTTAAAATAATTTTTTATAATTTAATTTTTATATAATATAATTTAATTTTTTAATAGATATAAATATCAGCCGATACTGTGACTGTGATGATGTCTCACTGCACATGTGTGAACTTCATTCCCCATATGTGTTTAGTTCCAGTGCGGATCTTGTTTCTAAAGAACCCAGAACCACAACATCACTGGTGTTTCCCATTCGCTGTGGACAGCAATCCTCCCGCCAGCATCAAATGGCTGTACAACAACACGACTCTCGTCGAAACACTCTACACCTACACCGAACTGATCAGAGATGCGGCCGATGGCTCCGTTCAACACGGCTGCCTGTTCCTCAACAAGCCCACGCACCTCAACAACGGCAACTACACGCTCATCGTGGAGAATAAACTGGGTAGAGACCAGGCTACGGTAAACGGGAAGTTCATGGATAATCCTTTTGACCCCTTTGACCCGGAGGGCATCATTCCTGGTGAGTGCACATCATCATACAACATGTATTTCATAAACTGTGTGGCGCATTGATTAATTCATTGTTGTAATCTCTCTCCACACGCCAGTCCTCACTGATGACCCAAGTAAGTTATCTAAATCAAATTCCTATAGGTCAAATATCAAAACGTCCCAATTCACACTTGCTTTGACTTTGAAAATGCTTATTTATCTCATTCACTGCACATATTTCTCAGTATATTTGTCTTGTTTTCTAGTTCAAATATCTAAACATTCCTAAATCAAGATGTATTTCCTTGAAAAGTAAAATGACTAAAAATTATTTAATGAAAAAAAACAAAAATAATCGCCAGTGGGGTCAGAAAATTAAACTTCAAAGGGAAAATAAGATTTTTT